TCATCGTACAGTGGCACCGTAGTCAACTGTAACAGCAACGTCTAAGTTGTCGTAGCAGTTTGGCCTGTTCATGATTCGTAATCAAACATACTTAGTTGCTATCGTTGAATAATCTCAAATCAAACTGATAATGTAATTCGTAATCAACTACCTAGTTGTCTAATCGTTGAAATCTCAAATCAACTGAACGAACAACTATCAGTTATAGAATCTCAGACTGATAAACATATGAAAATCATCCAAAAGGTGAATCAATCGTCCACAAAAAACCCGTCTTATCACAGATCTCCTCGTCTATAGAATAATTTCTACATCCTTCCTCAACCACGTTGTCATCTAATCAACTGCTAGTTGCGCATCCAGTTGAATATAAGGACATTCTTTCCTTCTAGACTAGTCTATGAGACGTACACATCGTCACGTACCATACTACTAGATTACAGTATACAAGTTCACGACTGTCTGAGATTTCTAAACTGAGCAGACAAGAGACAGTAGTTGATTACGAACTCAATGGAACAGCCAAACTTGCTACGAACACTTAACAGTTGACATGTTACAGTTGACTAGCGTGGATCAACTGTACCGATCGATTACAGTTGACTACTGAACGATATCTCACAATTGATACCTGATAGTTTTATTTCACAATGGGTAAAATGAAATGTTTGTTTTGTGTAATACACTAGTTTGATGTAGTGTGCATACCTAACTAACTACTATACTAACAGATTAATATACCCAATACAAGTCAGTTATAACGTTCTAGTTGAAATTGATGACTTATAGAGTGTTAACTATGGACTATCAAAATAAAGTGTTACCCATTTTACTTTAAAAAAAACAAAACACATTAATGTAACTACATACACATATCTATATGTTGTATACATATTGCAAATCAAAACCTTTATTGACCACTAATCACCAAACATTGCATTTCTATCCTGTTATTAATGCATTCAAATCGTGATTCAAATGGCCCGCCACGAACTTCCGGGAACTTTCTGAGTCTCCATGACGTGACGTAACCACGTGACGATCAAGCATTTTGGACTTCCGCTGTCGCAACTCTTCTCTCTACATGGCGCTGGACCAGCCAATCAGAATTGACCTTCTCGACTTCTCCGATTGGTTGGTTTTGTGGCACATTTGTAACGCTGTGACAACTTGAGCGAGCCCAGGCAAAGCTGAGCGTGCACAGGCTGGAGACGAGCGAGCGAGGGAGAGAGAGCGCGTGCAGCGGTCTGCTTGCGCACGGAGCAGGAGTTTTATGAGAGAAAATATATTTCTCTGTGCTCAAAAATGTTCAAGTGCGCGCTCAATCATATTTTCTATGCTCAACATGTTTCATTGCGTGCTCAGGATAGAGGCACAAATATAACGCCATACGGGGTCACATATTTATGTATAAAATACATCAAGAAGTGAATTTTGCATGATAGGTCCCCTTTAAGCTAAAAATAATAAATACTGTATGTAAATGGACAATTTGGAAAAAGAAACCATGCTTTCATCATAAATCTTTTTATTCATACTTTTATTAAAACATCATTTGCCTCCAACAAGTAAAGAATGTACAATAATAATAATTAACAATAATAATAATTATTAATAAATTGAATAAACTTTTTTCTGTTTGAATGATATAGTATTTATATTGTATCTTGTGTCAATTCATTAGTGAGGCGTTCTCTGGACATTTTTTCTGACTTCAAGGCTTCAGCTATAGGTTCGGAGGAATGTACAGTACATGAAACAAAAAGTATCTCACCCCCATCATATACGGTTTTTTCTATTTTCATGTATTTCTTCAGATTTTCAATACATTACACACATAAACCACACATCTGTGCCAAAAGAATAAGCTAAACCTCCTGTGGTGAACATGTACGCCTGCAGGCACACATACTCTATAGGCCAGAGTGTGCGTGACACACACACACACACACACAGTAAAACACACGCTTGGATGCCTGCAGTGGACGGTATAGTGCTGAGCTCCGGTGCTTTTATCAGACATTTGGTCGTAAAGCGTTACACTGACCGAGGCAGCAGCTTCCACAGAGCTCACTTCTCAGCAGAACCCTACACAGAGGGAAAAGCATTCGTCTGCCACCAACCTCGCTGTAGCACAGCACAGATAGACCCCATGACTGACCCTTATCACTCTCTGCTCCTCCTCTCCGTCAGTGCCTCGCGCTGAATGGTAGTTCCTTGGGTGCTGGAATTCAAAGGAAATGCCACATAGTTGAAAAAGTGACCTTTAAAAAATACAAGATACTCACCGAGGGGCGACCAGCTGTCCATTTACACAACATAATGTCACCGGTCTGCACACTTTGGAGATTGTCTTTTTAATAAAAGTTTGAGCTTTGAAAACATTTGAAACAATTAAAAACACAATAGCACGATAAAAACCTTTGACTTGATTTCAAAGTCTGCACGCTGCACTCAGAGTCAAGTGTAGGTTTACAGTATGTTCTGACAGGCAGGTGATGCTGAAAATCTCTTTTATGGTTTCACAGCAGTTCATGTGGGCTTGACAAGAGCAGAATCCCGTCATGCAGCTGATTCCTCTATCCACCTCCAGCAGCTTTCATTAAAAAGCTTTGAGTTTCTAATGATGCTCAGTCCAGAGCTGGCGGTCATGTATCAATGACGTCCTGCGCCGGCGAAGGTTCATGTGGTAAACTGGTGGCGTTGGGCAGCGGCTGCGTGTGGCTGTTCTGCTGCAGCTCTAGCGCCATGGCGTTCTGCGGGTGGGGGAACTCCTTTACCTGTCGGCGGTACTCCAGGAAGGTGGACGCCTTGGTGGCGATGGCCACCACGTTCTTCCCGACAAAGATGGTGGAAACCCGGCTGTCCTGAAACAGCACCATGTTCACGCCCCGTATGAGGATGGTGACCACGTTTATAGTGACCAGGCTCAGGACCGGGTACAGCATCATCTTCTGGGGCGACATGTGCTCCCCCTGCATGCTGATTTCACTGAGAGACACGCAGGGCAGGATGAGCAGCAGGATGTAGCAGTAGAAGAACATCAGGCCCTCGGCCCAGATGGGCAGGCCTGTCCGCTGCGGCTCCCACAGGTTGGCTTGGATATCCAGCAGGTCCAGCAGGTCCAGAGCCACCCAGAACAGACGACTCCTCATGTCCTCTTTCTTCCGGAAAGTTCTCACATATTCCATACTATCCAGAGCCACTAGAACCAAGTACAAGCCCGGTACACATACTGATAATAATAACGTCAAAGCTTTCCTGGCCACCGTCTCCAAGCTCTTCCTGTCTGCCTTGCAATTCTGGAAAACAAAGTAGAGTTTTATCTCTAGGACAAAGATGTAGAGAAACCAGAGGATCATGGCGTATCCTCTTCGGGCGGTGCGCACCTCTGCACCGACCCACACGGCCACGTAGCGCAGCACTATGAGGAAGCACACATCCCCTACCAGCACTATTATACACACACCAATCTTTCTGGGACCCTGGTTCTGCTCCACCAGGTAGGCGTCCATGAAGGCCATGCTGGTCATGATGACGATGGTGGTGAGGCACACGTGGCGTTTGTCTGGGGGCGGTAACACCATGGCGAGGGCACCTGCTGGCTCTCACTATCAGTCCCCAGTTTCAAAAGCAAAAACACACCAGAAGGTGATTGGGCACTCCAAACCTCTAAGGTTGGAGAAAAACGAGTTGCATTTAAAGTGTTCTGATAGGTCTTGTGTGCACAGGAGCAAATGTCCGCCTAGTGTGTCTTTATATTATAACAATACTATAATTCACTACACGAACAGTCTTTAAAGGAGGACGGTTATTGCAATGTAGAAGCAGAGCAGTGTGTGGAGTCAGCGGAGATATGCTGGCTGCTGATTGCTCTCAGACCATGTGAAAACAGGAACATCACCTCGTTACTCAACGCACTTCCATTGATCCGCCTCTGTCCCTGAGCAGCGACTACACCGCGGCTTTTACAGCTGACACGCCATGACTGATAGTAATCCACACACAGTCAAAGGGAGAATACTCTTAGAGCATGCTCGATCTAATGGAAATGTGATGGGAATGCGGGACACGCTGCTGCAGTATAGAAATGTTTATGGAGGGGTTTGTTTTGATACGAGACTGTGTTGAAAGCAGGAGTTGCGCCTGTGCTGCAGCTCAGCATGTGCGAAGAATTCCCCTTTGGAAGCTCCCGTAGACGATGGTGCAGTGTGTGTGGCTCCTTGCGATCCTGCAGTGTGTGTGGAGGGAAAGGAGGTGTCTGCAGTGGCCGGAGGCCCCCAGCCGCCATAAATCAAGGAGACAGCAGGTCAACGGCCCATGAGGCCTTGCATCCGACGCCGGCTTCCCTGGGGGGAGGCTCTTACACCCGTCTGAAGATCCATCCTTCCCCCCTCCCCTTTCCACGTGCCAGCCTCTTCACAGCCTAGAAGAGGGAGAAATAAAGAGGAGAGGAGGGGGAGGGCAGGAGAGGGGGAGAAAGAAACCTGTCAGCACTACTGGGCCATATAACACAGTTTTCATTGCCAATGGCCCTCCACATACGATGAGCCAAGCAATGTGTCAGCTAGGCTCAAGTAGAGTCTGTTTCACTATTGATAGGGAAGGACATATTGCACATGTTGGAGTAGGACTGCTTCAGGATGTCATTACCTCTCTATTGTCTGTGATCTGTCACTGGACAACTGGAGTCATGGCTTAATATCCTCTGGTGGTAACGTTATTATCTTCAGCATATTTTGGGAACATAATACCCAGAAGTTTAATTTGGGCAGTTGAATTAATAGAAGATTTATTACAATAATTTGTAGAAACTAATTTAAAGTCTTATGAAGTAGCGAACTGCCTGACAAGTCGTTTTTTATTGCTTTACTTGGTTCTACATTTTCTTCTTGTGCAAGGGTAAATGGCAAAAAGATTGCAAGTTCATTTCCTACATCTTTGGTTCAGTATGGTGTGCTGAGATTTCTAAAATAAAACATAGACAATTTGAATGCTGTGTGCATGCTGTATCATTATTACTGGAGGATTAATAGGATTAAGGGCTGTTTGTATCGGTGACAGATATTGATCGAACAGACAAACAAACCGACTTTCAGCTTTAATGTGTGACTTTCATGCATGCTCAGTGTCTAAGATGTGCAAACTGTGTATTGAAAATGATACAATTCCCCCCCGTTTATTTAACCCTCAGTTCAAGCTCCATTTAAAGTCTATTTTTGCTGAATGATGTTTCAAAGTGTTTCTGTTTTGACCTGTTTAGTATTCCAGCTGCTGTGTGTGCTGAAGCGTGTGACGGCTTGGGTCAGGGGGGGGCCTCTCTTCAACAGTCCAGTTTACATCACTTTGGAAAAAGAAACCGTACAGATGCTTAGAGCTTAACTTGCCAGCAGGAGTCCACCTTGCGCACTGGCCTTGTCCATAAATAACACACAAGCATGTCTAAATATTTGCATAGAGAGCAAACAAGGCTTTGAGAAAGTGAAATGTGTTAATTGAGCAGAAAGTTCCCCACGATTTGAGCTTGGTGAGCTTCAGGAGAAACTAGAATTTATCTGATGCTCTGTTCTGCTCTGTTAATTTCTGTCTCCTCCTCCACTCACTGGATCCTTCAGGCAGAACACAAATAAATCACATTAGTGTTTCTGTCAGCTGGGGGTACGTTTCAAATTAAGATATGACTATCAGGGAGCATCTGCAGCAATCCCAAAATATTACTGTCTCGCCAAAAGGGGAGTTTTAGTTGACCTACAGACCAGGATATTAATAATGTCTAAATCTCTGCAAAACAAACAACAGGTGATACTTGAACAGCTTACTTCACTATTTATCAACATAAAAAAAAAACGAAATAACTGACAACTAAAAAAGCATTTAGTGTTCAAACGTTAAATATCGATCCTTCAAGTGTACTTCACTGACTTGGTATTGCTTTTACATAAAGATTGGTGACCCCCAAGAGACAGATTTAAAGAAGGTGAAAATCAAAGCCACCTATAGCACAATGAACCGTATCATCCCTTAAAACTGTCCGGGGTCATTGGGAGCATGTTCCCGACCTCTCTCCCTCATTTCTCTGTCATTTCTTTACAATCCCTATAAAATAAAAGCACAGCAAGATGACGGCCTCGGGTTTATTCTTCAGATTTGGAAAGTCTTTATTAGACTATAAAGACTTTATTTAACTTCTTTCATGGTCTGAAAAGTAGTCCCCATTAACATTTGTTTAAATTTCATGTCTAAAGTCGTAGAAGTTCAGAGTACCAATTTTGCTTTAATGCACCCTTTTATAAGCTTGTACGACTGTCTTGTCATTAGTTAGTATGTCGTTTATCAATGATTTCACAGTAGGTCATTAATAAGTTCACATTTTGAGTTGCCGCATTATCTTTTATTTTTCATCATAATAATGTCATGTAATGTTAGTTAAACCGATGATGATTTAGTCTGCAGTTACAAGTGTCTATTTGTTTAAAAAATATTCAACATTTGGGGAGATGCTTCACTTTTCTTGTTTGCTTAAAGGTGATTTTGGAGAAACCAGCTCGAGTGCGCAAGAATTTGAAAATACAGTCGGAAAAGATCTGCCACTTCCTTACAGAGCCCCTCCTCCAACACACACGAACGCGCACATGACCAATGAGGGCACGAGATAAGTTTGTGCACAGATGGAAGGCTGACAGGCAGGTAGGCCATCCAGTTATTTTAGCCGGGCCGGCCCAGATGATTGGTCGTGCTTTTTACAGCGCCACGGCTTCCACAGAAGATATTCATTGCTATCGGGATGTTAAGAGCATTCCATGGAATATAACAAAAAGTGTATCTCGAGCCGGTTTCTCAAATTTACCTACCCCACCTTTAACATTAGATTAGGAGATTATTGTCAGTCTTGGATTTGCACGATAAATACGTAACTTGGGTCAGCAGTCGTTTAACTCGAAAAAAAAAAGGGGAATCGACAATCCTAGCTTTAACCAAAGATATCTGGAAAAAATTGCATGTTTTCTAAAATATTGAATTATTCAAACACTAGTAAAATAAGAAATGCAACTTCAAACTGTGATCAATAGTGAGTCCAAAAGAAACAGAAGGCCAAAGCATTCATTTGTCTTGATATTTACTGATACAGAAAAACAATGGCTGACCTTCCAGTGCTATTGATTGGATTCATTTCGAAAAGCCAATTTAGAAATGGATTACAAATTGATCCTCCACTGTTTACTTTTGTAAAGCAAAGGCTTCTATTTCACTCCATTTTGATAAACTGAGCTCCTGATATGAGAGACTTAAGTATGTGATAAATAAACATGAGTTTGTTTTGAGCTGCTGTGTGAAACCTCAAAAGCAAAATGAGCTTTTTCAATGAGATCCAGAGTTTGTAGAGAGGATTTTTCATCAGAAAAATATCACCCTTGAAGAACATGAACTACATCTAGAGAGAATATATGAAAAACAACAACCATGGAGCTTCAATGGCTCATAGTAGAAATGTTAAGAGATACATTGTGCTGTGTCACTGCGTACAACCTTGTGTGTTGAACAAAAAAAATCATGTATCATATAATAACATCCCGATTCAAAGGCTGTCATTGAAAGCCCAAGAGCCTGACACCAGAATGAGCCTCATTTGTAATCCAAGCATGAATTTGAATGTTTAAAACCCATTATGTAGAACAGTGCCTAAGTAAGAGATTACATTCATAGTGCGGTGATTAATTGACTGATTAGCAGAATGCCGTGGATCATTAACATGCTATAGGGAAGGCTGCCCCCACATATACAGTACATCATATCATCATTTAAATGCCATTCATTATCAAGAGAGACTTTGAGATTGTTTCCCTAATAAACGGATTACAGCCGGAAACATAATATGAGAGCGCTAAATTGGATGGTTTGAACCTCCGTGGAATTAAAACTCGAGCTGCAAAACATGGATCCCAAGATGTCATTAACGTGATTTCAGCGCTACATGGAACAGGAAGCTGATGAACTTTGGCAGTAATGGACGATTATTAATCCTTTCGGTCATATTCTGTAGAAAAGTGCCTTTGTCTGCGTGAGATGATGACATGAGTGCTCTGCTCTGCAGATTCTGTTATAATTTAGAACTCTACACTGAAGATTAACCCCGCAGAAAGAAATGTCCATTAATATGTAATTTGACAGCTGTGATGACTATCATTTTACATCTTTACTTGGCTTTTTACCCCGTGAGAGCAGGGGGCCTCTGTGTACTGAACGCTGAACATGCTTGCTTCAATTACATCGTATTAATTATGGTGTACTATAAAAAGGCAACATGGAGGGCTGTGAACTGGCAGCACAACATTTCTTTGCCGAGGAAAGGCTATTACTGTGTCTCTGGTCAAGGCCATTATCTCTCTAAACAGCCAGAGTTTTCTTGTCAGGCAGTTATATTAACGGTTAGCCTCCTGGCTGCCCCCAGGCCTCCACATGGATCACAACAAGGACATTAGGTTGGGGCAGGAAGTGGCATAACTGCAACTTTCTTTTGTTAGTTTTTCAAGTTATAACCAAAAAACACACTGGAGTTCTGGTTAGGTCAAAGCTCCGTACAGTCAGTACAACTATAAGAACAGCATTTTGGCACCGGATTCTTCCGCTCCTTACCAGGTGGAAAATCGAATCAAAAGCGTATAAGTTGTTTAAACAGTGCAGTTTTGAGCTGCTGCTTTTGAATATGCACGATCACAGTTTCCCTTTTAAGCACTGACTTGCAGTATCTTAATTACCTGTGTTCTCGCTTTTGATGTTATTTTTTGACACAGGCTCAGAGCTTAAGGACAGTAAAGTCTTACAAACTTCAAGAGGCTTTTCTTTCAACATTAAGGTATTCAGACACATCATACACCTCGTGAGGGCTGTGAGCTAGCACTTGTTTACAGCAGCAAAATCATTTCATCCAGCAACTGTGGATGGTATGCTCTATTACCTTCAGGCTTCAAAGGAAACTGAGCTGTTTATGCTTTTGGGGAGCCATATTGTTATGCATTAAATGCATCCTATTACATTTAAAACTTTGCATTCACTCCACGCTTCCGCTCGCATTTCTCAAGCCTCAAACCCTAAGGATGATCAAATGTCAATGTCAGCAACACACAGCAGTGGGACAGTGCAGGTCTCCAGAGCCGTCCGTTTTGTACGATATTTATGTCAGGTTGTCTTCATTAGGGCCAGAATGAGACCCATATGTCGTCTTGGCTGCCAGCCATCTCCATCATCGCAGCAGGTGTTCTGCGCCGTCCTTTGTGTTACAGTCAGCGCTCGGATAGTTTTGGGAGAGGTGGCAGATTGCTTTGAATCCGCCCAGTACTCAGAAAACAGCTCAGAACAGCTAAGCCGAACTAAATGTTGTAAACACACACAAACAGAATACACACAGGCACGTATGCTCTTACACAC